CACACACACACACACACACACACACACACACACACACACACACACACTCCACCTTCAAACAGAGGTGCTGCTGCCTCAAAACACCAGCTGATCCAGTGCTGCCCTCTCATTGGATATGACAACACTGGGTATCGGCCAATCGGAGGCGCCCACAGCCCAGGATCAATGTGCAGCCTGCAGGGTGAGAGTCTGTTAGACCAGAACTGAACCTGCCTCATCCTGCCTCCTCACTTTAGTTCTCACAATATCATTCAAGACGTTTCTCCACTCTTCATTGTTGTGGGATCCAAAAGACAAAAGTTGGGTTGAGGAGAAACATTATGGTTGCCCTTAATAAAATAACTACGTACAGTTAAGTTTAAGCAACTAAACCACGAACATTTAGGTTTAGGCAACAAAGCCAATTTGGTAAACAACTCCCATAAAACAGCGGCTTTCATGTTGAAAGTCCAGTTTGTTGGACTCGTCCATCTCCCCTCACGTCCACCAATGATCTGTTTGGATATTATAAAGTATGTCACTAGCTCTGACTGTTGCTTAGTCACATGGATTCATTCATTCATGTCTGCACCATGAATAAGGATCCTAATTGACTTTCAATCGGCATTATTTTCTTCCTGAGCGACAAATTTGTGTCCCTGTACACAAAACCAATAGATCTCATTTGGTGACTACTGGGCTGAACCGTCAGCAGCTTAAACCTGAACCCGTCTCACTCTACATACGGTCCTGTTGGTGTTTCTGAGTTCAGCAGCTTCTCCTCTGCACTGAAAGCAGAACATCAAGTGATTGAGATGGTCGGACAGGAGAAGCGATTCATGTCTCTGAGACAGTGACCAGGTGATGAGAGTCTGACTGTAGTCCGGTAATCAGAGACGACTAACCTGCTGCTGAGAGATGCGTCTCTGTCAACACATCCGCGTCTCTAGAGATTGAGACAGAAAACTCACTTCTTCCACTTTTAAAACACTTTGAGAACGACTCACACTCAGAATGCTCCAATGAGGCTCAATCCTTCCTGCCAACAAGAGGGCAGCATGACATAAGACTCATTCACCAACATCAACATGTACCCATGATGCTTTGTGGGTCTGAGTTTGCACAGATGATGAGAAGTGTACATGTACAAAGGGAGTAAACCGGTGATCTGTTGAAGCCTCAACAGTCTTTGTGACTGTCGCTCCCTCGTCTAACCCGTCTCCAGTATGAATATGAAACGCTCCGGTTTCCTTTAGTTCACATTCCTCTCCGCTCAAACCTCCTGGAAGCTGCTTTGCCTCCTTGTCGAATGCCCTTTTCCTTCAAGACTGGGCTCTTTGTTTCAGCCGCGATTAGCCGGCAGATACAAAAACAGGCAGGCCGATATTTGAGACTGTTGTGCACGCCTGCCTGCTTCTGGAGCTCACAAATACTCCCTCTCTTGCTCTCTTTCTCTCCCCCCCTCTTTCTCCCGCCCTCCCTCCCCCCCTCTCTCTCCCTCTCTCTGGAGGAGCTCAGCAGCCAGATGTGTGGAGCAGTCACCGTGAGAGCGGCAGAGAGAAGCCTTAAACCTGGGAGTGTTTGTTTTACTCAGCCTGAACTCTCTCACCAGCACCCGTGAGCTCACTGAGTCTTCTTACCTTTGACCCCCTCATACCACCTTAAATAAGCCTCGCTGGGTATTTTTTGAAAATGCAACCAATGAGGAAGCAGGAGATCTTTTAACCAGGAAGCAGAGCTCTTTCCCCTTCAGCTGTGTAACCGTTACACCTGGAGAGGAACCGGTTTTACAATCGGACTTTTAGCTACAGGTGGCACGAGGGTGAACAAATGTACATAAAAGATATCTACATTAGGGAATTATTATTTTATGTGCACTTTTTGCACATTTCCACTAGTTTGAGGGAAGACATACTGTGGAAGCAAAATAGCACAAAACCTCTAAATATACCAGAGCATGAAAAACTATACTTTGGCCCCCTGAAGGTTTGGAACCCTGAATAGAAAGAGAACTACTCAGGAACGATGACTCAGGTGTAGCTGCCATTACCTGGCCGTCACCGCGGAGAGGTGTGGACGCTGATGTCGTAAATCGACCGCAACGAACGCTCATTAGCTCGTGAGTCAGCAGAGAGAGAGCATCAGGAGGAACCGGACTGACTGCACCAGGTTCATTATCGAGGTGCATCTGTCGTCTGTCAGAACTCCAGTTTGTAACACGCTGGTGTCGATGTGATGACAGCATGTTTACAGGTGCATCAAAGCAAAGTCAACTGCTTTTTGTGGGAAATAATGATTTTTTTCTGTTCATAAGAGAAAGTTAAACTTAAGATACCACTTTAAAAGTTGTTTTCTCGTATATCAATGTATTGTTTGTTGAATAAAACATCAGAAAACTGTGAAAATGCTCGTCCACATTTCCTAGACGTCTTCAAATGTCTCGTTCTGTCCAACCAAACAGCCCAAGACGTTCACGACCACAAAGGACAAAGTCTGAACTCTAGACATGTTCAGTGATTCGAGTCGAACAACTAACAGATCGGTTATCTAGTGGTGAGAGCATCTCTTCAGGGAGATAAAAAGCACGAAGAACTGCTTCTCTCTAAGAGACAGATAACAGCCAGAACAGATCAAACAGAAAGCAGCAGCACTGAAGCAGGAATCAGCTGAAACCGGGACAGAGAGTTTGCAAACAGAAGATCATAGAAAGTAAAACCTGTCTTCATCATGCTGGTCAATAAAAGAGCTCCCTGCTGGTCCCAGGTCTGCTGCTGGTCCCAGGTTCAGACTTCTATTAATAGCTTTTACAGCACTTTCTTTCTTTCTAGGAGGAAACTGGAAAAGAGGTGCGGAAATACCACAGACCCACTGGGACCCAGTCCAGCCTCCCCCAGTCCGACCAGCACAGTTTCGGTGGTCTACCTATAGTGTGTGTGTGTGTGTGTGTGTGTGTGTGTGTGTGTGTGTGTGTGTG